CTCAAAGTACCCAAACTACCAAGTTTTAAAGAATCGCGATGAGTAGTTTTAAAAATTAGCTCTCAAAATTTTAGCTCCTGAGTGTTAATGAGTTTGGTATATGTTATTTATTTTCTTTTTTAATTAACTTATTTGATTTCATTTCACATTTCAAAATTCAGGTTCATTCTAAATAAAATTCACCCATTTTTTATTATTTTTTAAATATTTTTATAAATTTTTCCAAAAATTTTAATTAATATATAAATTTTTATTATCATCTTAAAGTAGATGTATTTTTAAGCATACCTGCAAAAAAGTACAGTTTTTTATTCAAAATTTTCGAAGATATACATGAATTTATATATTGGCGCGTTTTGAAATTTGGCATAAAAGCAATAAAACATCAAATATGGTTTATTTTAGCAAAGTGTATAAAACATCAAATATGGTTTAGACACTTTGCTAGAATTATTTGAAAGTAGGAACGATGTGACTTTTCTTCCGCTGATGCACAATGTAAATAGGTAGGAACGAGGTACCTTTTTTTCCCGCTCCAGCATAATGGGAAGGGAAAGGAAAAGGGTTGTCATATATAAAGATGTTCGCAAGTGAATATTCTAGGCGCAAATGAAAATGTTGCGCCAGATAAATTTTTGAATTCTCCGTAAATTTCGCACCAAATTTTACGAAATCAAATATAGGCTAAATTGAGTCGTAGAAAAGAAATATGTAAAAAAATTGCATGTATTCAGAAAAAGTCCGATTTTGTGTCAAAATACCTATGTTAGAACAATGCTAAATATAAATCTAATATATGTTCTAAGTCGCGCTTTCGAGACATGAAAAACGCAATTTGAATGTTGTCAATCGGCCCAGTAGAAAGGGAGATATAGAACTGCCTCTCCTTTTTTTTTCGCAGTGTACATGGTTAATTGTTCATTTCCAATGTGATAAAGGAGTAATTTTTTAGTCAAAAAGACACATTTTTACAAAACAATGGTTCTTATTGTACTCAATCAAAGCATTCTAAAATTTGACATTTCTCATGAAAATGAGATACCGATATATATACGTATATATATATTTATATGAAATTAGTACAAAATCTTTCTTAAAGTAATGCAAATCAGTGACTTCGAGAAAAGATACAAAGTGCACATGAACTGAGTTAAAAATCTCCGTTTCCTACCTGTGAATACATAAGCCTCAGAGAAAATTAATCTCTGACAGTAGTATACTAAGGTAAAATTTCATTCCCTTTCTAACTTTCTCGTTTACAGTGATAGCGTTGCTCAAGCTGAATCTTGCAGACATGAAACAGAATTCTTAAATCAATCAATACAAATATTTGGTAAAATTTGTTCCCAAGTCCTTAAAAGGAATTATAAAAAATAAATAGGAAAATATGTGAAAATTCGATAATTGCAGTGGCAGCAATGTAAAAAGGGGTAATACATTCAAAATATTTAAAAGGTTGTCGATAAGGAACTTCCCAAAATGAATATTTTTTAAACAGAAAGACAACAAAGGTATTCTCCAATAAATTCCATTAAAATTGAAAATTTTAAGATTAGTGCTAAAAAATTTGCTTGTGATGAAAGAAAACACACCATACAGTATTTTAGGAAATATTCACTTATTTGTTTGTGATTTCATTAAGTCATTGTAATGAGTATATGTGAGATAATAAATGCATTCGGAAGCGAAATTTAGCAAACATTTCAATATCTGGCAATGAATCACACTTCATTAGAAATGAAATTGTCTGAAAATGACCCAAGAGTAGAAAACATATACCTATAATAGAATACCTTGTTTGTGATTTCTCAATGTGTTTGTTTCAGATGGAAATGGTTAAAAGCTCTTAAATTAGTAATAAAGCAATGAATTTTGTCAGTTTTCGTTGAAAACGTGAAAATTCTAGTAACTCAGTTTTTACCGGAAATGGTAAAAACACGACAGGGAATATACGACTTATTCCGCGGTGTCCTTAATAGCAAGCTTTTCATGCTTCATTGCTTACAGAAAAAAAATAATAATATTAAGCAACCATGCTTCTCCTTTGCCTGTCTGAGGCCCCCACCGTGCGGTTAAGTCGCTGAATATTGATGGTTTGGTTCTGGGCTCAAATAGGGGCGAACGGGCTGGCTGCAAGGGCATTTTCGTGGCTTCCCCCCTGCCAAACGATATATGAGCCAGTGCCCTTTAGAAAGTCCTCCACGAAGGCATCCCTCCCCTTAGGTAGATAGCTCTCGATTGCTTTGCCATAATCAAAATAAACCAAGCCTTTGCCTTTCAAGTCATGAAAAATATTTTCTCTTGTTACATATAGTTTCGCATAAACTCGCAGAATATTTTTGTACTCAGATTTATTCTATTTATTAATCACAATTTTATCACAGATGAAAGAAAGAGTCTGTTCTTAAAATCCATACCGTATTAAATTGAAACAAACGCTGAAAAGTAGCCCGATTCCTCATACACGCGGTTTTTAAATTGTAAATTCCGTTTTATTTTATTCGATTCAAAGTGTGTTGATTCTTTGGAATGTTACAACCGTATATGCATTTATTTTCAATACTGTAACAAATAATAGAGAAAGAGTTTTATTCTAGAGAAAAAATAAAGAATGAGTCTACCTTATGTTTAATGCGTTAATGCATTGCAACAAAATAATTATGCAAAGGTAATTTTATTACTTTTTTTATATCTTATTTAATTGAAAACTGATGTCTAGCTCTCTCTGAAAAGTCACTAAGGTATAAAGACAAATACTGAATTGAAGAAACCACCTTCAGTTTAATTATATAATTATTAAAAATTTTAAATACGTGTTAAATACAAATACATTTTTTAAATAAGCAGAAGAGAACCAGCATATGATTGAAATTTTAACTGTAATTATAGCACATTTTAAGTTGAAGAAAGAAATCCTAATAAACATAAGGATATGTTATAAATGGCTTAAGAATATCCCTAGGTTCAAATAATAATGAACAAACATATTTTGCTTCATGCAAAACATTGTATCAGTTTAATAAAGTTATTCTCCGGGTTAATTTATATACCCTACTACAGCATAATTTTTTTTAATTCTGGAAGAAGGAGCTAGAAAAAGAAAGAGAATTTTATTTTGAATTTAGTAGTTTGGAAAAATGCTTGGACAAACAAAGCTCCAGAATATGCATTGCCTACTTAGATCATTAGAAAGTTGCCTTATTATTGGTATCTGGTCTAAAACGTTTTTCAGTCTACAAAGTTAAACTTCACAAGCACTTTTTGAGTACTGACAAACATAGTTCATGACAGAATGTTTCTAGTTCAGTATGATCAGCATGATTTGGATAGTATAAAGAAATGCATTTCAAAACTTATTACAGAATCTGTTGCTGAATCGTTACAACAAAGATTGATTAAATATTATTAAACAAGTTAGAGAATGTTGGATATAAAGATAAAATCTGTTGTTGCCTTTTTATTCTTTGGTTGATACTGACTTACATTCTCAACCAAGTTAACAGAATGTACTAATAATAGAAAACCAGGTAACACATATGGAAAATGCATCACTCTATTGCAATAGTTTCTGCATAAATGAATACGTGATACGCCCAAAGACAAAAAAAATGAATAAAAGAGGTGGGTTAAAAAAAGTTTGTTTCCATCTATTTCTCAGTTAATTCACTTAATTTCTGATTATCAGCTATAGTTGAACTGAGTGATTAGGCTTTTTTTGAAGCAGCAGGAAACTAAAGAAATCCACAATGCCCTCGCCGAGATTCGAACAACGGACCTCTCTATGATAGCCGGGCGTGCTACCCAATTACACCACGAAGACACACGGTAAGCAGGGTGAGCATACCTTATATACTCTCCCTTTTAAGCCAGTCGCCAAATCCTGGGTGGTGAGGAATTATTGTTCACGACCTTTTAGTTCGGGCGGGAGTCATTTTTTCAATAATTTTTCTAACCCAGGAAAACGAAGAGATCGGCGTGTTAACGGAGTTCGAAAACGGAAATCCCGATGCCTAGCCGAACTTGCATCCATTGACACACGCAGAAAACTTGGTAAGAAGAGAGAAAGTACCTTATAAAAGGTATTTACCAAAGTTTTTAAGAATACTCTTAAAACTACGTTATGCGAATGAACTGAAATTTCGAAACATTACGCCCAGTTTTACTTTAAATTTCTAGCTTTTTTTTTTTTTTTTTTTCTGACACAGAAATGCTTGCAGTAGAAGACTTGCGTAATATTTACCCAATCTAAAAAATTCTGCTTTATTGTGGGTTTAATACATACGGATCTGGTGCATAGCCGTTTGATCATGGGCATATTCTATGATCGGAAGACTGTGGTTCACTTGTAGGAAACGAATTCTCTGATTTATTGTTACTATTATTATTTAAAACCACAGAAGAGACATTGAATGTTTTGGAGCACTCTTTCTTGAAAAATTCTTTGTACTTGTTCTGAATGCCGGATTAATATGCTGACCATTTTACCACATAAACGAACGAAAAAAATCAATTTGCTTCCGTATATACCTAAAAGACAATTGGGGTAAGAGGAGCCCAGTCGATCAGTCCTTGTTGTTGATTAGTTGTTGTCCACAACTTTTAGTTCGAGCACCAGATGCAGAGAACCAGGGAAAACTAAACAAACAAGGAATAAAAAATGAGCCGTGTCTTTCCCGGAGTCATTGATATGCGAGACCAATCTGCAGCCTTTGCACTTACACGGTGTCTGCGTGATACAAACCCAATCAACCGATCCATGTTGGTGACGAATCGTCCATTTTTTTAATACGGGCACCACTTCAAAAAGAATAAGAGTCTGAATCTCTTAATAAGTTCACTGAGCTTCATCATGAATAACCCGGGCCATCGAATTACGGAACTGATATCTTAATCACTACATCATATGAATACACGCAAAGAATATTTTTAACTCCTAACAACGGTACATTTTATTATGTATGTAGGGTTTTATCCTTTCTTTTGTATTAAGCCATACTTACGTGATAATGTGAGCAGGTACTGTGGATTTGTTGCATATGACTCAAGGTTGTTTCGAGAGCCTCCACAGCTTTTGCCTTCTTCCCAACGGCCGTAAATTGATTTCATTACAGTTGCCAGCTGAGAGGAATCCTGTTCATTTAAGAAAGAAAAAATACTTTCATTATTCACTCTTAAGGTGAGCTGTAGAACTCACAGAAAATAAAATATTGATCGTTTTCTGGTTAACAGTATTAACCCTTTGTACTTCTTTCCCACCGATAATATTTGTTATACAGACTGCGTAAGTTCTGCTCTGTATGTTATTGGTAAGAAAATATTGCATAGAAAACCCTTAATAATAGCTAGTTATAAGATTTTTAGACGCAAAACATATTTGGAATTAAATCCTTAATGCTAATAAATCCTATACTATAATATTCTACTCAAGAAAAACTATCATAACACTGTTTAATAGCAATAATCCTCAATATAGAACTAATGTACATTGTCTTCGATTCAGACTTCCTTTAAACGGAATTTGCCCTTAAAAACACTGCATCATTACTATTTTTTAGAAATAAACTAGGTTTTACAGCATATTGGCATTTTAATCAGATAAAGCACTATTACTGATTAAAAATTTTTGTCGTAGGCCAAATACAAATCTAGTATTAAAATTAATTGCATTAGATACAGTACTTATAGCAAGTCAAAGAATAAAGGTTTAGTAACTGTGAATAAAACATTATTGGGTAATTACGTATTTTCCCGTTCGACCGTAAAAGTTGGCTCTTTGGTTCTCATCGAACTATGGAATTTGGGGAAGATCCCGCCGAAGCTTCGCTAATCCTTCCTACGGACCTCTGAGTTGCACTTTTATCTGCCTCTAACAATAAAGCATTCGTCAGTGTCTCTGCATAATTCACCAAATAGCTACTACTGAAGAAGTTTTTGACTATTGTACGACGATTTGTACTGTTTCGTTAGGCCTTCCTATTTCATTGAAGCTCTTTTTCAAAAACCGTGACTAAACTTCCAGCAGGTAATTGTTTCAATCTACTTACTGTTTTGTCGGCCATATCCAGCTGTTCTTTCCCTATTCAACAGATGTTAAATATCTCGATCATCTGTAAATGAGCCGGAATGCACTCACAAATGGGATTTTACAGACCTCGAATTCATCATTTTAAAAAATACGAGAAAAAAATAAAGTAATAAAAGTTAATATCCTTGCTCATAAAAACAAAAGAAGCTTACCGAGAATTAATTGGGTCAACGAAAGTATAATTGTCACAAGTATGTTGTGACATCACGCTTAGTCATTACTGACGTTAAATCGCGCTAGTTAGCTACAGTTTCACGGTCAACAGGATAGTACATATGTACCCATGATTGACTGGATGGTCAGACATTGTAGACAGACCTTTAGTTCTCGGATACCTTCGAAAACTGGAAATTTGTTTTATATACTCATCTAGAGAATTGTATTGTACAATGTGAATGCATTTTCTTCTACTTTTGCAGCTTACACTGAAAACATGAAAGCGGCTTATGACAAATTCGAGTATTTCTTCAAAATACGTGACATGAAGACCATCAATGGAAACTCATGCTAATCTGGCATAACTGATAGGTCTGCAAGTGAGTTTCACAAGGACCATTTTGATGGAAATGGAATAGACAAACGAAGACTACAAGAAGAACTACATCATAGAATAAGGTCTCTACAAAGAGATTTTGTAGCTGATGAAAAACATGTGGCGTTAGTGAACAACTGAAGGAGATATTTTATTTTGATTTCGCACTCGTTCAATTTATTACTCTCATCAAACCGTTTGTGAAATTTTTGAATAAAAAAAGAAAATGGAATATTTTATTTGAAAGAGAAGTTTACAGACGCAAGTGAGTTTAAAATAAAGATAACGAATTTTTATCGAACTGCAAACTGGATAGCTTTCTGGAACTATTTCAGAGATGGATTATGCGAATAAAAGAGTTTCAGCAGGGTATTAAAAAAATATCGTAGAATCAATAGGTTATTTTACGCTGCAGACGTGCAAAATGTGCAATGCCCTCGTCGGGATTCGAACGCCGGACTTCCCGAATCACGCCGAGTGTGCTTCCAGCTAGACCACGAAAGCATGTGGTAAGGGAAGGAGGAAATACCTTATAGTATTTTCATATTTTTGCAGTACTGAGAGGAAGAATGTTATAGTTCATTCACAGAACGATCCACTAGTTCTCAATATTACAGCTTTTTTCAAAAACTGCATTTCGTAATTATGCATTTTGTGGTATGTTTCAGAAAAGCAAATATAATTTTAGTTATCATTTATTAAAATTTTATTGCTACGATTCCAACACCCGTTCTTCATGAAATTTAGATAGTTATTGACCATAAACTTACCTTAATTTTTGATTTCTTAAGCGAATTATAATAAGTTAAATCCGGTGTTAAGCTGCAAATTGTAACTTCTTCAAACTCTCTGCAAAAGTCTTGATAACTCATCCAGAATTCCCCATCTCCACGTTTACTGTAATCCATCTTTTCTTTGACATTAGAGTCCACTTTATGCCAGTTCTTGTCACTGAAATTTTAGAGATATATTAGTAAATTAAGGGGTATCTTACAAAAGAGTAAATAAAATAGGAAACAATTTAAGAATACGGAAGAGTTACAGAGGACTAAAAAGAATAAAAGTCACCTGTCATTCCACTGGCCGTTCCATTCCGTATCATTTCCCCAAGGATTTCGAATCCGGACTAAATATGCTTCAGATCCCGTACTTAATTTAACCTGCAGTAGAAAGAAAGAATTCAAAAGGAGAAACTTCACAGAATTTGAACAACATATGAAAATAATGTGATCAACTGAGTGACATCAGTAACAGAAGATGAGACGTAAGTGAAATAAGCAGCATAAATTAGATAAATAAAAAGTTAAAATATATTAAACTAAGACTGATTGTACAGCTTTATGCAAATAATGGAAAATGATCTAGCAAGATAAAACTATATGGCGAAAGTGTTAATGGAGATCTTAGATTCAAGTCCATTATATTCAAAAAAGTGCATTAGGTAGCATTTCATGGCCCACACGTAGTCAAATATCCAATTCCGCAAAACATTGATCGTTTTTCCTCGAGCTCTATTTCTGGCGACCGAATGAAGTGGGTTGCAAAAGTGTTTTTTTTTTTTTTTTCCCCTCTAATACGCTTGTTCTCAGTGCGTTTTGTAACTAGATAAAAAAACTAGATAATTCAACTTCAAGAATAACTAATTAGGAAAATTTAGAAAAATATTACATATCAGGGATAGGAGAGAGAAAAAAGCGAATTATCATAAAAGCAATTAGCGTTCCAGAAACGAATTTTCCAACCACTGAATTCATCGGACTCTTAAGGGTAGATAAATAGGACCCACCTTGACCTTTGCTATTTGTAAAATAATTTATTTAAAATTAAACTTATAAGGTATTTCTCCCGCCTTCTTAGCATGCCTTCGTGGTGGAGTGGTCAGTACGCTCGACGCGTATTCGAGAGGTCCGTGGATCGAGTCCCGGATAGGGTAATGCTCATTTTTCACCTCTCCAGCTTTCAACATATCCTCATAGCTCTACAGTGGCGCCCGAACTAAAAAGTGGTGAATGATGATTCTCTTCACCACCAGGATTTGGCGATTGGGCCCTCTAAAACCCCAGTCGCCTTTTAAAAGGGGGAGTATATAAGGTATTTCTCCCGTTTTCTTGGCATGACTTCATGATGTAGCGGTCAGCACAGTCGACGCGAATTCGAAAGGTCCGTGGTTCGAGTCCCGGTGAGGGCATTGCTCATTTTTCATATCTCCTGCTTTCAAAAATACCTAATGTCTGTACAAACTCATAAAAATACATAACATAAAAAACAAAAGTGCAAAATCATCAAAACGCCCGACATTAACAAAGTATACCTTATTCAACTTCATCAAAATACTACATTTCAGCAGTGAAATAAGTTAAAGAATTAATCTCTTTCAGAACAATATACTTACAATAACACCGTTTGATTTTGAAAGAAACTCCATCTGTTAATTCCATTTTGACATTTCGGAGTAATAAAGAGGAATTTTAGATGTTCTCAACTATGTTAGTACTACCAGCCTCTTTTCTTATTTAGTTTTCTACATTAACATCGTGCTTTCATTTTAAAGAATCAATTGGCATGCTGTGAAAACTTTTCATACCTTATTACAGCCTAAGTCAAGTAAAAATCTGTTCAGAAACGAGATTTTGAAAATTTTTTAACGTATTACGTTTTTTCTTTCCTGTCTTTCTACTACCATATTCTTTTTCCCACTTTAATTTCTTTTTTAAGCAATCTTCTAGGAGTAGCAATATCGATCAAGAGAGCTGCAAATTTTGCCAACCGGTCTACCATTTTATCACTTCGGACGAGTTACCGTGCATCCAGTATAATTTTATATCAGGTTTTTACTTTTCTATAATGATAAAGATTGTAACATTTAATTAATTTTCTTACATATTAGTTCTTAACGAATTGGTTTCTATTATACATCACAGTAATATTTTGCATTTATCTGCCGATATATTACCTAGAATCACTTTTGATGATACCTAATGGTATTAGGCATTCGTACATAATTTATCTTGCAGTTTTGTATTACAGAATTCGCAAACAGCAATTATAGTACGCTACTGGGATCATATTGTTACGAATTTGATATTTAAAAAGCTAATGTTAGTTCAATTATAAATCAAATGGTTTTATTTCTCGCGCAGTGCAGCGCGTGACGAATATTAAAAGAAATATAAGCTGGAAAAATTGAAAAATACAAGAGCGCGTGCATTAATAAATAAATATCTCTTTTGATTTCGAGAAGTACTGGAAAATTCTAGCGCGTGATTTAAAATCTTATAAAAGGGGAAAACATCCAGTTTGTATTAGATGCTTAGTGTTGTGTTTGAAAACTGCTCTTTTGATGTAGCGAATTCGCGGATGCTTAGCGCTGTCGCTGTTTTGACTACGTTATATTGGATATTGAGTGTTAAAGATAACTAGTTGTATTCAATACGGCATGAGAATGGAGGAAAATTTAAGCATTTTTGTTGTGATAAAATAAATTTTTGTCATTTCTCGGGACTTGTGCATTCATTTTCATAACGAACCCCGGTTGCAAGCAACAATTTTTGGTGTCCGGAGTGGGATTTTGAATGCCCAATTAAAAGAGCGATGGAAGAACAATTCAGGCAAAGATGAATCAGTTGCGCTTTCCAAGAAAAAGATGGAAGGGGCCGTCAACTCCGTTAAGAGAACTGAATTGGGCCAGGAATCCGTTAGGACAAATGAAAGGCAAAAAAACCGTTTAAGTGGTTCAAGAAGAGAAATGAATGAAAAGAGAAATTAACCTCATAATAGAAAAAAATGGAGAAGGCAGACTAAAGTTAAAGAAATTGGACAAATTGAAGAAAAAAGTTCGTCCGTAAAAGTCAAATTGAAGAAAGAGTTCTTCGGTTTGAAAGAAGAATAGAAGAAAATGTTTATGCTGTAAAAGAAATATAGACGGGGAGAGTTTCTGTGTGGAGGCGAATTGAAGGACAGAGTTGTGCCGACCAAACCAATCGAACAACAATTGATGATAGGGTGTCTGCAGTAGACAAAGAAGTGGATATTTAAAGAACTTAGAGCGACGGCAGGGAAACAATGGTGCATGGTTTTAAAAATTTGAGATTTGCTTGCTAGAACCTCTGAAGCTATCCACCATATGATGGAAAAAAGACTCCTGCAGGGTATAGACACAATTTTCATCGGGCGGATTGCGAATGGATGGGTTCCACAACTAAGGCCTTCATCTCGCCGCTTCTTAAGAGCCGGGACGCAGCGGATTCCTCAGATCTTCCCGGGAAACAAAAGTTTAGACTTCGGAGCTCTTCCGGCGCCTTGGAGCGCGTTTGGGGAGAATTTTAAAAGATACAGGAAGGGCTCATTAAAATCTCGTCAACATAAGCCTATAGAAACATTCAGGAGCTCGCCAGGGATGTTGAGATGAAAGGATTTGTCCAAATGCTCGCTTTTCAAGATCCGACAGAAAAAGGGGAAATCCTGTCCTGCATACTTATCGACGGCATCCGGGATCCCGAAATACAGAGGCTCGAATGGCGGATGTAAAGATTTGAAAAGTGCTTAGTGTACGCCATGAAAAGGCAGCCAGCAAGCCACTCGTCGAGACCGCCACCCAGTGAGAGCTGCTCAAGTCCAGCAGCCAGGGGAATCAAGTCACTGCTCGTCTAGACGATTTAACTAGACAACTCAACGCCTTGAGACGGAATATTGGTGATAAGAAACCGACCGTTAAGTGCTGGAACTGCGGTGCTGAAGGACACATACGACGAAACTTCAGAACACCCCAGGGCACGGATGTTAAGACCGCTCCTAGCAAGCAGCAGGGAAACTAATTAGTGGCCATCTCGTGGGGCGGAGGTTGCCAGATAATGAAAAGCCCCAGTTTAAAGCGCTTCAGATTTCTGCAGTGAGAGGCGGCAGTAATGGACTTTTTGTAATAGGACATATTAATGGAGTTCCCTGCAATATGACAATAGATACAGGAGCCAACGTTACCATCATCCGAAAAGATTTGGCTCAACAATTGGGAAGCAAACTTATCTGGACGCCGCCCTGCGTTACCCTCCAGACTGTGTCCGGTGAGAAGATCGATATCGCGGGAAAGTGAACGTTAATATCACGGTTTGGAAGTGCCGCTTACCATCACACGGCATATGTAGCAGACGATTACAGATCCTTGCATACTCGGATTAGACTTTTAAGGAAATATAATTTTTCCTTGGACTTTAAAAAATAATGAATTGCATTCTGCGTCTGAGGACATAACGTTATTTGGAATTAATGAATGAATGAAGAAGTTAAATCTGTCCACAAAATCATAGCACAAGACAATATCACAATACCGGCAAGAAAGAACAGAAATTTTACTCCTGGATCTATAGCCGAAAACAGAGATTTCCGCTACGGCATCATAGAATATCCCAATAACTCTAATACCCCGAAAGGAGTACTAGTAGCCTCAACACTCGTCGACTTATCGAGAATGGTTATCCCGGTGAGAGTTGCCAATGTAACTGAGAAGGCGAGAGTTATTAAGAAAGGCGACGTGGTTGCAGCATGTACTCCAGTAACCAGCGTTGAAAGAAAGAGCAACATCCCAGAACCCGTGTCCTCAGAGAGCATTACATCGGAGTTATTGCAGAATGCGCAATTAA